GACCGCTCAAAGTCCCCAGCTGGTCCAGGGTAGCACCCTAGTTGGGGATCTAGGGCAGCACCCTAGACGGTGGTACAGGGAAGCGAATCCCCCGGAAGCTCCGGGCATATGAGTAATTACAGTGACTGCTTTGAACATGAAAAATACCCTATCTGTTTCTTACTATACCAGATTTTCATGAAGCGATAGTAAAATCTAGCGAGTTCCGTAAATTGCTGCTTGCTATTTTCAAATATAAAATAAATTTTATAAAACGGGAAGATCAGGAAGAGTCGACAACCGTCCGAAGCGTTAATCAATAGAAGGGCAATCAATGGACACATGCCAAACCCGGGAACAGATAAGACACAAAAGGACAAACAAAAACATTCAACATTGAAAAATAAATACAGATGAAAAACACGGACCCCGAAAAAAATGTGGCGACCGCCGGTGCTCCGGAAGGGTAAGCAGGTCCTGTTTCTTGCAAGACATCCGTAGTGTTTCTCACGAAGGTCATTTTCAAATCAAATCAGAGGTTTCTACGACAACGGCAGAAGGTAATTTGGTACACAGATACCCCAGGTGAATTAATAGTCTTTTGAACGAACGGACAATGGGAATACGAAATCGAACGGCCACTTTTAAGTCTTGACTTATAAGTAGAGGATATAAATCTAAGATGTTTTCAAGGTGATTGTATTAACCTATATTATCAAATGTTAATACTGCATGTAAGACTTAAAGTCAGGATAGTTTATATCCAAAGTCCACATATCTATTTTTTTCCAAAGCAAATGATCGCAGAACTCTCTCGGTGAGTCTGTCCTGTACCATGGTTGAACGGAGATAAGTTTTCAGTCGCCGTAATGCACTAAATAACCGTTCAGTAGTTGATATAGTTACTGGCATTGTAACTAGGAATTGAGAAGATTGCGAATATTGAAGGATATAGTTCCTTATATTATTCACTGCTAAAGACGACATCCGATATTTGTTACAAGTACAAACACCGCCCGACACGATAATCCGTAAAGACTAAAGACTTTTTAAAATTTATTTTTGTTGAATTTCTACACAATAACGCAGTCATCATCAACATATCGATAAAAAATATCGATGCTGTAGATCATCTCTATAACCCTGTACACCACAACGTACACTATTCCGTGACTTGTAGCTAACTAGCGAACAAATTAAAGATTGTTACATGGTATCAACGCTTGTACAGGACCACATCTTTCTAGAAGTAAAATTACATTGGTTGACTGCTGTCTTATTGTCGTTTATTTTTTCTTTAAATTTGTAGTAATAAAATTTGAAAATAGTTTTAAACTTATGAATGTATTTCTTCATTCAGTTGATAGTACTAAAGAATTATTACATATATGGAAATTGTACCTTGGAAGTACAATACAATTGTAGTACAAAACCGGTACTTTAAAATATAAGAACAAATCCAGTATTATAAAATTATGGTACTTAATTCATGTGGACAACATTATGGAAGAACTACATTATGCAACATTAGCTAGGTACATTTAAGTACCTTCAAGTTATTATACCGAAAAACCACACAATCAACTGTGTTTACAGGTAAACTCATGTAAACTCGTGTAATACTTGTGTATTTAACTATCATTTTCGAGCAGGATAAGTCTGTTTTATTTTGCACAATTACTTAGTATTGGAAATGTATACAGATGAAAATATAAAAATATAGCAAATCTAAAGATTAAAAGTAGTATGTAGTACGCCTGGATTCTGTTGACGGTAATGATGCTCAAAGAGAAAATAGGGAATCTGGTGAAAAACCTTTGCAATTATACTGAAGCGTATTAGGGACAAGAAAAAAAAATATCATTGAACTTTTTTTCAAAGTCAAGTCATAAAAGACCGAACCTTAAAATCCGTTACGAAACAGCGGTTCATTTTAAGGACATATTTCACGTTAATTTACCACGTCGTACGTCAGTCTTTTTTTACTGCTATTTTAGTGAATTCTATTCGAAAAGTAAACATACATTATTGAAGTTGAATGCTTTTTAAAATCAATTGATATGTCATTGGTTTAAGTATACATTAATAAATGTCATTATGTTAAAGATGGTCACGCGTGGACATAAAATGTACCACGGATCTATTCATCTTTACGTTGTTGACACGTGGCATGTTTTTACATGATATCATCTTTTCAATATATAGTTTTACCTATTTACGTTCAAAAATTCATTGACAAAGTCTTTTTCTTATACGAAAGAAATCATTTATCCATACAAGACTGAAACGAACATTTTAATTGGTCGTAGTTTTTTAATGCTTCAAAAATGATAATATCTGATACTTTGGTTTTGTTATGATATTTTGTTTGCTCTATGGATAGTTTTGTGTCGGGCGAAAAAAAGAAAAAAATGAACCCTACGAAATGTTGGTTTTTATCCTTTTTAGTATATGCTTGATAATATATTTGTTTTAGGAGATCAAGTAAAACCCCTAGCCGTTGGGGTTTGATTCTGTCCTACTTATAAGGATTTGTTTTGTTTTGTTTTTGTATTTTTATTTTTGTAATTTTTTGTTGTTGTTGTTGTTGTTTGTATTATAATCGTATTTGGCATTGGTATATGTGTTCTATCTTTATGGAAAATGTTTACAACTAAACTTTAGAAAATTCAACAAAAACTTGCGCAGAAGATATTTTTGATACAACGGTGTATTACTATTGCGTGCATTACCATTACATTTGCGCGCATTACCATTACATTTGCGCGCATTACCATTACATTTGCGCGGAAAAATCATTACGTTTGCGCACAACTTTTGATTAAATATGCGCGCATTTGTTTACAGGTAAACTCATGTAAACTCGTGTAATACTTGTTTAGTTAACTATCATTTTCGAGCAGGATAAGTCTGTTTTATTTTGCACAGTTACTTAGTATTTGAAATGTATACAGATGAAAATATAAAATATAGCAAATCTAAAGATTAAAAGTAGTCTGTAGTACGCCTGGCTTCTGTTGACGGTAATGATGCTCAAAGAGAAAATAGGGAATCTGGTAAAAAAACCTTTGCAATTATTTACGGTGCATCGCCAACTTAGGTGTTCTGTCGATACGGAAAGTAAATCCATCGTACGCTAATGTTTGTTCTCCCTATTTGTTTCTGACAAATGAAACTCCATGTTTGTGTCTTGATGCAACATTACAAACTGACTTACATTATTTTTTAAAGCGATCACTTTTCGATAAAATTAAGATAGAGAAAAAGAGAATAATATTTACTCTGAAATATTCAAAATTAAGTTACATATTAAAGAAAAGATGTGGTATGATTGCCCATGAGACAACTCACCACAAGAGACAAAATGACACAGAAATTAACCACTATAGGTCACCGTACGGCCTTCATCAATGAGCAAACCCCATACCGCATAGTCAGCTTTAAAAGACATGTATGTCTTAAGCTATTACGGGATTTCTCATGATCATTTTACTTTTTTAGGAATTCAAATTGAAAATATATAATTTAAATTTACAAATATTTTCAAAATTCATAATAACTATAGTCATGTTTATTATGCGTTTTTCATTATTTTTACCTGCATTACCTGTGATGGAATGTGCGCAAAAGTCACCAAAAGCTGCGCGCCAATGTAAAATAATTTAATCACAAAATCCCAAAATGCGCGCAAATGTAATGCCCATTGAAATTGAAGTTGGATTTTTTAAGACATATAATTCATCATGGTATAGTGATAGGAACGTGACGAGATTTCTTTTTATCAATATATGTATATATACTGAATATATGTATATATATATTGTATTCAGTTTATATATACAGAAAGATATATGATAAGAATATCTCGTCTCTTACCTGTGATAACAGTGTGGGATATTTCGTATACGAATTACTATGAAAGATACTTAGTAACTCTAAGCATGATCTTTCGGAAAAATGCCATTACTATTTATACGAACTGCTCAACATAAAGCCTTTAGATTAAAAGGAATAAATAAACAATTCTTAAGGTCACTATATATATATATATATATATAATAATTTAATAAAGTAAGAGTATCCAACTGAACTGCTTCACCCTTCCGGAGCACCTGAGATCAGTACACTGTTTGGAGGAGTACGTGTTGCTCAGTATTTGGTTTTCTATGTTGTATTTTGAATACTGTTGTTTGTCTTATGGTCATTTTTTTTTTTGCCACGGCATTGTCAGTTCCATTAACTAATAAGCTTGAATGTCCTCTTTGTATCTTTCGCATCTTTCTTTCATATATACACTCGATGCCGCAAAATCGGATTGGATTACTTCGATGTATAATATTCAATATAATGATTGCTAACTTTTTAATTACCAGAGGAGTCCTAATAGAATGGCTATCACGAATTAAGCACTTTTGTGAGTTGTAACGTATAATACTTAAATGTGGAAAGTCGTGGGTTCGGTATACGGATTTTTTTAGTGTTAGGGCTTACAAGGAAACTATTAGACCAAAGTTTCTCACTCACAAAGTTAAAGTCCTCCCTTAGAATGTTTTACGAACAGTATCATTATTTGGTGATTAATGCAGGCTATATAGGATATATATGGTGGTTGACTGTTATGGAATATCAGGATCACAGATCACCATGATTTTTTTTTGTTTTTGTAGCCACAATCTTGTTCTTTTCTGGTTTACGGCATTACCAAATTTGATTTTTCACAGGATTTTGATAGTTAAGAGCAGCAGAGCAGGACACGCGAAACATCGGAACAGTAGTCATTAGTTTTCTTTCTTGTGTTTTCTGGACTAAATTGCAGTCATTATGTTTTGGCTAAAGTTTTGTCTGTAGGTATATCTTAATCTTTTCATTATGGTTGCCAACAGGGATTACCATTGACATGATGGTTTCTAGAAATTGAGACAAATTATCTTCATGAGAACCCTTCCATGAATTATCGCTTTGTACACATTACTTATTAGTGTATCTTCTATATCATATTTATTATTTACTTGAATCAAATCAATAGTTCATGATAATTTATTTTCATTGTAAGATGTTTGAATCCTTTAATAAGTGTTACAATCCAATTGAAAGATAGTCTTGTTTAGTGTGAAATGTCAAATAAGAAAGCTTTTGCTTCTTCGTTTGCCACCAGAAGACGATTTTTTCTTTTGTTGCATTGTATGGCCCTTGGTCTTTTTAAGCCATTTGATTCAGAGAGGAGCTGCCTACTGTTAAGTCCATCTGGAGAAATAACTATAACATTATTGAGGTCTTTGTTTGTAACATACACGTTTCCCATGCCATCGACTGCTATGCCACTAGGCTTCTTTATGACAGTATCATCTTTAAAAGACCAGATTGTACTGCCTTCCATATCACAGCAGCTGATAGTATTTGTTGAGGGGTCACAAAAATAAAGTTTAGATTCAAATGACGTAAGTGATGTGTATTTTGATAAATTGATTTTGATTGTTGACAATATTTTGCCACTTTTGGTATCGATAGTTTGTATGTTCCGGTTCAAAGAATTAGATAACAATTTGCCATCACTAAATGTAATACTATAATAATAACATTCCGTTTTGATTTGTGTAACTTCCTTACTGTGTATATTTATGGACATGATGCTACATTCGCCACACTTTGGAGAAGTTACGACAACAGTTTCTTCATCCAAAGTTACTACATCAAATGCATAATTCGGTTTAAGTGATATGTTGTCAAAAGGTATGCCATTCGAAGTAAATACTGCTATAAAATCAGCAGTCCCACTGGGCGAGTAGTTACTAAAAACCATATTGCCATCTGGTAAAAAATCGCATCCAGATATTGAATTTGCTTTTGTATTTATGGTATTTAAAAGTTGGACAACAAGGTTATTAATTGATTTTGTATTTCCTGTGGTCTGTGCCTGTTTACCCTTTTGACTTTCAAGACAGAAATTTCCCGGAATCTTTTGCAGCTGAACCGATCCAAATTTACTGATAACATTAGAAAAACTAGTAATATTCTCATCCAACTCAAATGCAATTTCAACTTCATCCAAACTTCCATTTTCAACTAAAGACCGGAGGAAAGATTCATCTGCGATAATGTCAGAGGATAAATGCCTCAATCCTAGAAATGTTTGTAGATCAGATGCGTACTTTGTTATGTCTTCCATCTGTTTCTGTTTTCTGCCATTCTGTAACTTCTTCTCTTCTAAATATTTGAGTGTCAGCTGCACATCATTTTTAGTTTTATTTTCAAGTTTAGAAAGTTCCCCTTTCAGTTGTATCTCCAAAGTATCCAGGTGTTTGTTGACCTTTTCTCGAATCTCGCAAATGCGTTGTATAATGACACTACAGCAGTCTTCTGTACTGTTCTGATTAGATTTAATTTCTGCTATCATTTTATTAATGTTGGTGTCTAGATCTTCCAAAGACATGCGTACTTCATTGAATGATTCGGAAGTTTTAATGTTTTTCGCGATCTTATTTATTGATTTGATATCTTTACATTCGGAATGATCTTCAATGCAGATCAGACAAAGAGGTTTGTTATGATGTTGACAATACAGTTCGTACTTCTCTCTATGGTCCTCACATATGTTACCAATAGATAGAATCGTTGTCCGGAGTTCATCTAAGCTAGCAATCGGTATGGTCATATGATCCTCAGTTGTAGTCATTAAACTATGGCATTCCTTGCATTCTGTACAGAAGGCTTGGTTACATTCAGAACACCATTCTATACTCGGTTTTGAAATGTGCCGTTTGCTACAAACGGAACATAACTTGTGGTTGGAATCCATTATAACAAGCGCTACCAATTGCAGGAATGTCGTTGTTCATGGGTAGATCAACAATATACCATTTGAGATCTGGAAAATAAACCAAAGAAGTTACTTCGTATAATAATACAAGAATAAATTAGATATGAAAAATATGTTATCAACTTTTTTTCTAAGCGTTTCTGATGAAGGTAAATCTAGTATAGCACTTCGGAAGCGACACATTTTTAAAGTTTATGTTTATTTCTGGTATAGACCTATAAATCACTCATGAAAATTTTACAGAATATAATTGTCACCTACAATCGTCTGTACTATTTTAAATAAACAACTTGTTATCATTTAACTAATCAATCAGTTAAGATATATAAAGACCGGAGTAACACGTAAAGTTTTATTATGTTTAATTCTGAAATAATTTTTTTTAGAGCAATCTACAGAGTCCCGATAGGGACCTATACAGAGAAGTGCGACACTTGGTCAAGAAATTATGTACCAATCTAGTAAAATATATATCATCATAGATATTTCAACTGCCAGCATAAATCATCAATCGAAACTTCTAGTCTTGTCCACACTGTTACTTTACAAAGAATGGAAGGTTCCAAGGATGGCAAAAAAAATGATTTTTCACTACAGAAACAACATATGGATCATAGCTGGCTAGTTTAATGTAGTTAATTCTGTAGTTTTGACCAACACTTAGTCTTGTTAAGAAGGGATTTTTATGCATGGATTGTTTTCATTTTACTTTATCTGTTCTTGAAATGTAATTAAAAATGTAGTAGCTTTTAACTTTGACTTCCACTGGCGGTTCTTTTCAATTTCCCATCAGCATCAAAGGAACAAAACTTCCAGACCTAGGGGACATTCAAAATTCATAAGGTTAAAAGAAACTGACAACAATGCAAAAAACGAAAAAGGACGAAAAGACAAACACGTCCAGAAAACATTACATAGAAAACTGAAGACAGAGCAACAAAAACCCCAACAAAACCCGAGAGTGATCTCAGGTGCCCCTGAAGGGTAAACAGATCCTGCTAGACTTAGAAAAGGTTATGATATAGACAGTTTATGATCCATGTTTAAAAAGATATCATCAGATAAAATTCCACCCATACATTTATGGCTGTTCAAGTTATTCCCTTTTAGTTTTCGTGCACCAAAAGATATTTATAGTTTGAGAATTTTAAAATGTTTGGTCAGGAACAAACCTCAGGAATAAAACACATTAGCTACGCAAGGAATTTATATCATTTGGTTTTCATATGGGATATAAAGTTGATCAAACGTTTTTTTGATTTTATGAAAATCAGTATGCATTATTTAAAATGGCATATTTTGTTTGTTAGTTTCCTCAACATGCACAAGTTATTCATATTATATATTACAGTATATAATCTTTAAAACGTGAAAGCCCACATTTCTCTTTTGTGTACATGTTATATCTGTATATATATATGTATTCTACTTTCGATTTCTATAAATAAATACGTGATTGATATTTGTTCGGACTGACACAGTTTGAGAAGGTTTAAATAAGTAAATCGTCGATATAAAAATAAGAAGATGCAGTATGATTTCCAAAGAAACAACTAGGGACCAAAATGACGAAGAAGTTCAAAACTATAGTTCACCGTATGGCATTCAACAATGAGCAAAACCCATGCCTTATAGTAAGTCATAAAAGGCCCCGAAATGCAAATCTTCAGTTTAATAGCGGTTTTTGTGTTCGTGTTGCTCAATCTGTATTTTAAAAATATTGGATAGCATTGCAGTGTGGTTTTTTGTTTGTTTTTTTGTCTTTTTGGAAACGGTGCATGTTGTCCTTCTTTTCCTTATTCATCTCATAGTTTGTATCGTTTCCTATTAATATTTCTGTTTTTCATATATAAAAAGCAAATTTGCAGTGTTTGTCACATACTTACAATGCACTAGGTAATTAATTACCTTATTCAAAATAACTATCCAAAACAACCGGAAATAAAATCCTCACATGACAGCATATCTTAAAAACAGGGTTTAGCTTTCTAAAAAGCTTGTCTGACTTTAGCATCTCTTTTTAATTGCGAAGAGCAGTGCGTTGTTAGTTGTAAGTTCTTTTTTTTTTAAATGGAGCGTGCAGCAGAGAAGCAGCAAAACAATTACAAGTCTGATTTGATCGGGCCAGGAATCAAACTCAAAGGGCACGACCTCGAACTCTCGCAACCTATAGACAGATAGGAAAATCAGAAAACCTACTTATTAGTTCCAAATTTATACAAAAAGTAAAATGTAGGTTATTCGGAATTTTTTGGCCTTGCAAAAGTTTCTTTAACTCATTGCCCCAAAATGGATAATATTAGGTCTCAAAATTTGTAGTTTCCTTTTCTGTAATGCATGTCAAAAACAGTTTTGTATGTAATCAGCTTTGACACGACAAGCTGTTAAAGAAGTTGCTAACCTTACAATTACCACGATACAAATTGAATATACCGTAATGCAACGCAATGGAATCAACGAATCTAACGGTCTGACGCCTTGACATAACCTTTTGAAAAGTTTTTCTCATTTTAATCATACTTACAAATATGGTTTAAAAGGTATGGCTTGAATTAAAGAATTCACAACTTATTAAGTTATTTAATTGTGCAAAGAAGGTAAAACATTGAATATTCAAGGATTTCACAAAAAGGTGTTGTTGGGAGATAAAAAAATTACTTCTATTTTTTTGAAAGAACATTAGTATATATTCCAATTTGTCCCACCTAAATGTTTTCCCTTTGTGAAAATTCCAAAATTGGGAACAAAGACATTCATTGGAAAATGGAATGTTATGATCAGGAAAGAATTGAAATCGGAAATATTTCTTGATAGAGTATTGTAGGTATCAATTAAACGTTTTCTTTGATTTTTAAAATATCAAAAATTCAATTCTTACTATATCATTTTCAACAGAATCTTCAGGTGAGACTTCATCTAGGTATCAATCCCTTGTATTATACGTCTATGGTACAGACAACACTGTAACGAAAAGAAAAATTCGAAAAGACACAAGTTAACAGTCTTGTCTTGTCTATTTCATTTAGCGTCGGTATTCACCATATCAACACTATGTGTAATAATCTTTTTTTAAAAATGTAATTTTATTTTGGAAGGCATTTTATTAAACATAGAGTTGCAAGTGACCCACAAGTATAAACCGACATTTTATATCCACATAACAGCGCTGTCAAATAGCGGTATACACAACTACTAATTTCTTTTCTTTTTTTCCTTTTAGCGTCTACATTAAGTCCATCCTTTTAATGATAATTCAATACTTGTTTACAATATAAATATAAGAAGATGTGGTATGATTGCCAACTCTCCACCAGAGACTAAATGACGTATAAGTCATTCGGTTATGGTCATCTTATCTTTTAATGACATTTAATATAAATTCTGCTCTACATAATCTTTAAAAAGTTAAGTAAAATACCTTCTTTTGTTTTGTTTCCGTTCATACAAATCTCAACAAAACTTTGGATGAACTCAGTTGTTCCAGAAGGCGGCTGGTTAAGATAACAGTTCGTGTTCCACTTACGACACCCGTCGCGATACTCATAAATCTGGTACGTGTAAGAAGTCGTTGTTGATAAGATTTCATACTATAGCAAGTTGGAATATTTCTCTCGTCTGACCCTTAGCATTATCAACGTTTTCACTCGTTTGCTTCGTAATAAAGGACGATAGAACGTTAGGTTTGCTTTACAGTCCCGCATATGCATGAACTGGCTTGTTTGTTTTCCATTACTATAACGTTGGAATGTGAATGCTCTTTACCGGTTTTTATCCTTAAGTTCTGATTCCAGTATATTTGATGTCCCTTGTGTTGACATACAAAGAGGTAAGAAGATACCAAAGGGGGATAACATATATATATATATTGAGAAAAAATACCTGATCCGACAATATCTATAATTAAAAGGAGGTAAAGACAAACAACAATATACATAATACTACACAGAAAAATTAAGAAGGAGCAAATTAATCCCCCCCCCCCCCCCCCCCGCCAAAAAAAAATAAAAATAAAAACAAACAAAAAACAAAACAAACAAACAACACAACACAACACAACAACATAGAGACCATCATAGTTCTAACCGACTTCTTTGTCTTATCATGAAACCCATTTCACTCGTGCACGATACAAAAATATAAATTGTTTGCATGACGAAGATACATCTTTTATATTATTAAGATAATTCAGGACCAAATAAATTGCACTGAAAAACTTATCTAAAGACAAAGTAGAAGTATATGTCAACACATCTTTTGACAAGAGGACCTTTTTGGTTGCTACAGTAAGTTGTATACATACGTTAAAATTGTCCAAAAAGTTTGACTGTCACTTTGTAAAGTATAATATTTTGGTCAGAGGTAAATATTAGGTTTGCAACAGGTCACCAATTGTCTTGTGTTGCAAACTCTTCAAACTCGAGGCATCGGACAGAACTGATCTCTACTTTGTCATGTCTGAATAAACTCACAATAGATACCAGACTTTTTGTACGCTAGACGAGCGTTTCGTCTACAAAAGACTCCTTATTGACGCTCGAAACAAAAAAGTTTAAAAAAAAAGGCCAAATAAAGTACGAAAGGACATTTTTACCTATTTGAATAACTGTCACTGTCAAATGAACATCCCTTCAGTAAGGATTTACTCACCGAAAAATAGGAGTGGAGGTAACTATGTTCTACATACTATATATTTTTTTACTTACAACCTCTTGTAATGAGAAAAAAAATATGTCTTTTTGAGACTTGTAGTTTTGTGGAATAACCTTCAAATTCCAAAAATTACTTAGAATTAGTTCGTACTGAATTTCAGATAAGTACATAATTAGAATTCCTTTAAGCAATGTTCATGACAACTCTTCATCGATTGAGCGTTTTAAAACCCGATTGAAATACATGTATAAAATCATTAAACGAAAACATGAAGTCCCTGATAAATATATACATGTTTGATGCATCAAATATTCAAAAAAATGAGGCTTCAAGTTGTTAAAACAAACAAATCATTGCATAATCTGTATGTAGCCATACCCCTCATGTAATGTTTACCTGTGTATGTAAATTGTTAAGCAGCTTAGCACATTTATACAATTTGTCAAGTATTTTTGGCAACATACACTCTCAATAAGTGTTAGTTGCTGGCTAAAAATGTGAATATTGCCACTTCAACACTGAAAGTGATATATTTAGATGAATTATTATGTAAAAAGCCTTTAGCAAAATACAGATAAATACTTCAATTATTGATATGTTTGTAATTTCGTTGTATCTGTATGACAATTTATCACGTGATTATATAGACTTTTTCATTTAATATAATTCCGCAGGAAGAGAAGTCATCCTACATTTGACGCATTCTTCTGTGCCCGAGACAACCAGTTTTTGTTACTTCTACTTGACATGTGCTTAGCGGAGAAGCAGCAAAATCAATTTTCAGGCCTTAAACATTATACCTGCCTACGGATCGAACCAACGACCTCCCCACACTTGAGGTAATCACTTATCACGCGACCACTAGGGCGGTTTAATTATGGATTTAATTTAATTTTCAAACAACAATGCCAGTTATATATAAAAGGCATTGACAAAATTTCTAAAATTTACTTTGAAAAAATAAGAATTCGGTTATGCAATACCGAAACAAAATTCAAAAATGTTTTCAAGTTTAAGTATTGAACCTGAACATCTTGTGATAGTCAAACGTGTTTAGGTTTTAGTAGTACTCAACTTTTGAACTAAAGTTTAGATTTTCCAGCAGAACGGAATTTAAAAGATATAAGTAATTCATTAAATTCTGTTATTATCTCCTCTTACTTCTTTAAAATAATGTTCCCAAATCTTGTTTTTGTCCAAACATTTCACATGGCAGTCATTCAAATCTTAATATGTCTCTGTCGTCCATGATGTCATCTTTGTGTGACTGGTCCTGTTATGGAATATTGACAGAAATTGGCTCTAAAGTGTTGATGTATTTCAGTTGATACGCTATGCTAGAGTAGTATTTTACGAATGAAGGTGAATTACCATTTAGGTAATGAGGGACAATTGAGGTAAATGTGTTATTCGATTAATGTCATTACCAAAGATGAATAATAAGGACATACCATATATACTATAAAAATACAAAAACAGCTCAATGTCCGAACGTAGGAAGAGATAATCAAAAACAATTAATAAACAACAAACAACAAACATTAAACAAACACACAATTTTGTTTAAAATTATTATTTAATTGAAGTCCTCTTATTAACATCAATTTTATGAAACAAAAACCTGATTTCCATGACACGTGTTTGTGTTTACATCTAACGAAACTGTCAATTTGTATTTACAATGATTAACATGATTGGCATTAAAGCAAGTATCAACAGAAATTAAGAAATTTTAAGTAAATATTTTCAAATAGATGATGGCCAAACTGTTTAATTAGCTTAAGAGTCCTATGATGAACAATGCCAATCGTGATCTAGCTGTCTTGGTGAGTGGTAGTGTACATTACTCGAATGTGAAAAGTCATTGGTTCGATCCCTGCATTTGTTTATTAGTATTGCTAAGAAGGAAGTTATTAAACCAATGCTTCTTATTCAAGTTGAAGTCTTCCTTTCAAAGGCTCCAATAAGGCCATCATTATTTGGTCTGTAACGCAGGAGATATGTTATGGAATAACAGGATCACACATCACCATGGATTCGTGCTGGAAATTAAAGCAATATTTCTGCTCTCTCCTCGTTTCTGTTATCACCAAATTCAACTTTTCAGATTGTTGCAAGAACAGCACGATATGTGTCTCAATGGAGCAGAAAATACTGACCCTTCTCCGGTGTTCATCGCCTGTTTTCGGTAGGGTTTGTGTTTGTTTAGTTACAAGTTTTAAGATGTCTGTTGTATTTTTTGACTTGTGTCTTTTTTTTTTATTTTCCGGCTTAGGTTTTCTCTGTTTTTCTTCGATGTATG